CAGCAGGATTGAAGCAATGTTTCACACGGATGCAACAAATTCTGTAATGCTGAAATAGCTACACAAATAAAACATTCTCACTTCAAAGCAAACAGCTGAAAGTAAGTCATCCTAATTACTATACCACTTTCCATCATTATTCTATGCCGTAAGGAAAACAGTAACAAACATTGAATACTAAGTTTTTAAACATGGACAGTAAATTACAGAAATATAATTAAAGATAATTGCAACACTGTGACAGAATTTTCAGTGGACCATACTTGCTTGCACCAGGACAAAATGGAATTAACATCACTAGCTAAGCCGAACAGCACAATGTCAAACTGGCTAAAGCTGGGAATGATTAATTAATTAAAAAACTTTAAAATAACAGCAAAACAGGTCCTATACTTATTTTCCACTTCTAGTAGTAAGGGATAGTACTAAATGCTCTGAAAATCAGAACAAACCACATTTTACTCTTCTCCTATACTTGGGTATGCAATTTGGCTGGTTTCTGACCTCATGTCAGGATGAGACCTGGATGCACACCATTCCTCCCCATCTAGGCGGTTCCCTCTGAAGGGCACAGGCTCCTGGGCACGGAGGGAGGGAGCCCGGGAGAACCTGATGCTTCTCCCACTGCAGACTGCCTGGAAGCAGGATTTGCAGGGCTCCCCACAGAGCGTGCCTGGCCCACAACTCAGAGCTGGAATTGCACCTGAGGCTTACACGCTCAGGCTACATCCAAGGATGGTGATCACAGACTCTGAGCAGCTTTATAAATGATCTTGAAACCTTCCAGTATTACCCTGAATCCAGAAAGATAGGAACACTAACCTTTGTGCCCTGTATATGTATTTTGAGTTTCCAGTGAGCCTATACAGCAGCAGGAACACATAAGCACTACCAGCCACTCCATGGCATATTCCAGGTCCCTTCTTCAACAGGCCTTTCTGCCAAGTTAGCTCTCCACACCGGATACAAGTGTCCAGATATTGAGGCTTCTTCGAAACCAGGTAAGCTTTGGCAAACAGATATGCAATGCCTAGGAAAACAGCAGTGAGATTGTCTTTTGTAATAAGTGGGACAAGAGTTTCATAGAACACATAAGAAAATAAAGATTAATACACCAAAAATCTGTAGTATCATGCTCTACACAGGTCAATGTTACATATCTATATGCTACATATGGAGCGGAGTGTATCTGGTATGCTAAAGAGCATATGGCAAGATGTAGTTATCCACTAAGTGGTGTGACAACACCACTTTCAGTCTTTTCAATGCATTACTAAATTCCAGGGTTTACTTTAACATCTCTTAAAATTCCCAGTCCTATAGCAACTTAAAACAGCAGTCACATTTTTGCCTTTAAAACAGTAAACTCTTAGCACTGTCTCCTACCAGTTTCAAATTCCCATTCACCTCATGTATTTACACTGACAGAAACACAGGGACGGGAAAGACAATTGTCAACAGATAATTTTTTTTACTGAATGAGAAAAAGAAACTTGTTCTCTTTTCAGTGCGGTTCATGATGCTTTATTCTAGTTATGAACAGTTATGCATACTAACTTCTGTAAAAAAAAAAAAAAGCTATTTGGCTTATTTTTAGAGGGGATTCAAATAAATTAATCATAATCTTCAACAGAGCACTGCACAGCTCAGTTCATGGTAACCTTAAAGGAATGCATGAGACACATAACCAAATCAAGCGCCTAAGGAAATGTTCAGAATAGCTCACTTGTGGTCTGAATAAAATATACACTGAAGTAGCTGAAAAGTGTTCTTGTAAGCTACATGTGCATTATTACCCAAGAACAGTGATGGGATACAGGATTTTCTGTGGAAGAACAATAGCAATTAATGAATTTGCCTGTCTCTAAATGTCTCTTAAAGAAACTTCTTTATGACCTTTGGAATTTTATCACTTTGGTCGAGTCTCACTGCATATGCCTCCACTAACAGATACACCCAAGTCAAAGGCTGCTCCCAAAATACTGAAACAAAGAGGGCATCTTCTCTGCAGGTTTCATCACTAGGCCAGCCATGATGTAGAAGTAATTTTTTCCTCTTAAATATATAAAGGGTTGGTCAGCAAAAGCTGTTTTCACTTCACTTCATTAGAGCGCAAAAGCAAAAAGCTTGTTCCTTAATCTTACCAACAAAAACATAATGGATCAGCAAAAAAGCACATTTAAGGGATGTTAATTATAGTGTACTTTTTGTAATTTAAATAGAACACCTTTAAAAGCAATGCATCAATGCTCATGGACATTCTTTAATAATAAAGTAAGTTTTTCTGTAACCTTCTAGGTTCATGCTACCAAGCCAATATGACAAGTTGTCAATAAAATTCTGCCTGGGGGTAAAAAAGCAATTTCAATATACAGCATTACTTACCAAAACTGCTAAGGTACTAGATTCTGAACTGACAGACGTCAGCTGTACCTCGTGAACCCAAACTATAGACTGATACCCTTTTTCTCTGAAAAGTAGTTTTATATGAGTGACTTCTAGAAAAAATGCCTCTTGCTAGTACAAACTCCCCTTCATGTGAAAATACTTTGGTCAAATGTATGCATTATCTACGTAATAAATGCAGCTTAAACTTTGATTCTGATGAGGGGGGAAAAACCTATTCTGAACACTTTCCCCAAACTGACAGATGTGTCTGTATCTGTGTTCTTTCCCATACTATTTCTCTGTCAACCTATATGGTGCCTTTTGACTCAGCTGTACCATTCTTTGAGGTCTTGTCACAAAATGGAACAAGAGCAGAAAACACACAGTTCAGGGTGACCAGAATTCTTTCGGCTGTGATCACCTATGCTTTTAAGGCAGAAAATATGCCTATCATTCCAGCTGCTTCAGCAATAAATAAAGCACTTTTAACTGGAAGAAAAAGCCTAAATAGTTTGCCTGCATCTCATAAAATGTCAAAATCGGTCAAATTTAACCTGAGTTTATTTTCTGAATGGGATCACCTAACGTGGAAAAGAAATGTGATCAGCATCTGGCTATTCATAGCATCAATGGGAAAAGAACCTGGAGCGCCATGACACCAGTGTACAAGCTCATTCTCCCGCTCAATTGTCTCTCCCAGCTCAGGAGGCCAGTTGCTGTTCTGTTCTTGGTCCATAAGAAAATCAACGCTCTGCCACACAAGCTCCTGATCTGCTGGCTGCAGGTACTCATAATAAGAAAGCAGCATCTGAAGGATCGATGAAAGCCCATGTGCTGCACCTGTAAAGAACAGAAACAGTCAAATTAGAAGGTAGGTTTAGGTCTTACCTCACCTCATGGCAACCTTCCCTTGGGACTGATTTCCCTATCAAGTGCATGGCTCTTTCATCTTCTTGATACATATTACAATAATGCTTGGAATGAAAGCTCTCTAGGTGCATGACACTGATTTGTTACTACTTCTGTCGTTTCCAGTTCCCCTAGCTATGCAAAAATACATATGAATTTTTTCTGCTCTCACTCTGATATGACTAAAACTCAGTGCATGAAGTTACACTGAACCTAAACTGAATGCTGTTTCAAAACATTATTCTTCTTGACACACCACTGAATCTGGACCATTATTCTGAAGTCTTTGTGGAACCCAAACTGAAACTGGACCATAAATGATATTCCCAGTTACTGACTGACAGTATCCATCAGCTAAAAGCTAAATTTAGTGCAAGAATTGTCTGCACCTGCTAGGGTCTGTGGAGCAGCACCACTCAGTGACTTCTCCCTCTGCTCCCCCGACAGAGAACTCACTAACATCTGCAGACCAATCTCACACTTTGTGCAGTCTGATATTGTGCCTTGAAGGCCCCACTAGGGACCTGCTCAATGACCTTTCACCGCTGCTTCAGCTGAGCTGCAACTAAGCTGCTCGCGATGCGTAGGAGCTGACTATATGCTTGAGTTGCACTGCCATGGCCAAAAACGCTCTGCAGGTCCTTGTGTGGCAACAGCAGCTTACAAATAACATCCCCTGAGATTTCTCTCTAGTAACCTTTTCTCCACACAAGCGTAGGCACCACACCTCTTGCTGCCTCCATCTGGCAATAGCAGATTTACCGGGGAGGAAAGGAAAAGAGGGAAAGGAGCTGCTGCCTGCTGCTCCGCTCATGCAGCACAAGCACCTTGCGTTGCCCAGCGCTAGGCAGCACAAGTCCTTCCCTCCAGCTCTCCAGTCCCACCTAGCAGTTTTAGGAGGCTGGATGGTACCAACTCAGTCAGGAGAAATTCCACACTGTAGGTTTTAGATATTTTATTTCTGAAGCATCTACTGCCTCAGCATCTACACATACAGCATCACTTGCAAAGTAGTTGGTGTGTTTTACTCACCAAGGTACTCTGTTCCATAGTAGGAATACATGAGTGGGAACGGTTTCCTCTTCTTCACTGCATACTGCTTTCCTGATTCTAGTATGGCCAGGCAAATTGATTTTATTTGTGCTGGGGTCAGCACCTAAACAGAAACACCAAAACAAACATCAAGTCTATTAAAATAATTTTATTTTTTAGGACTCCGCTTTTTTGCTGGTGCACAAGACGAAGTACGTACTGCCTTTAATCTTATGAACATGCCATAATGTACATCATTATTAAGAGTTCCTTACATAAAACACTAAATTTACATGTTTCTCAAAAACAGAGTTTCATCCCATCTCAGGAGGGTGAATGTCAAATCTTTAGATGCACAGATGAGGTGAAAAGAGGCCCACTAAGAGCCCATGCCTTTCCTTCCCAGACACCATCAGTCTGATGGAAGCTAACAACACGCACCCGGCAATCTGCCAAACAGCCTCCAGACTGGAGGAAGAGACATTATGAGAAGACAAAGGAAAATATACCTAGAGAAGAAGTAAATGTTACAGGCTTTACTGGGACATACTGAGCTAGATGGATTCTTCTCAGACAATATAAAAATGAGGAAGCAAGGCAGAGGGTACTACATTTTACTGAAAATCAATACTATATATGTGGGTTCAGAAAGATCTTAGTAAAAGAATCAGGCCTTCTTACTTCAAGGAAATGCTAAGAAAAATGAAGTGCAAGACATTATTCTATGAAGAGAGGCTAGTTATGTTTATGGGACTTTATCATCATGAACAGGTCAACGCTTAATGCAGTCCTAAGAACCTTTAATGCAGTCCTAAGAAATAACGAATGCCTTACTCTTAGTGGTGTCAAAAGTAAGTAAGATTGATAAATCACATATTTCACTAGACATGAACTTTTCCAAGTTACTGACCTAAAGCATTCAGTGAGGCATCCATTTTACAGGTTTTAACTACAGCTCTAATGATACACTATTCACTGCAATCATCCACAATTTCCTCTGTGTCAGCCACATCTTTGCATTACTGACCAATACCTAGGTCATTAGCGTAATTCAGCTGAAGCAGTGTTTTGGCTTTAGGGGACAGCCTGTATGGCAGCGGTAATTTGCAAAAATATATTTCAACTTATGAAAAGAGAACTGAGGAAAAAAAAAAAAGCAAAATGAGGCAGAAAAGAGAAAAGGGCTGTAGAACTAGCCTAAATAAGATAAACGGTAATCCTAAAACTAACTGGCATATCAAGATAACATCTTTAAAACGTTTCTGAACACATTTGGTTTTGCTATAATTCATATTATCATAGGATTTACTATTGCTTCTTCAAGTTTAAAAAATACCGTTAGCATGGAGGCAGCATCTGTTATAAACTATATTCTCTCATTTGGTATGCAAAAGGTGCAAGAGGTAATTAATGTAACTTAAAACTTGACTGAAAACCAATAGCTGAAAAATCTTCTTTCTCTATCTTAGCTCGCTCCCTGATAACAAGGCACTTTATTACAGCTGCTCCAAATGACTATGATATTTGTACAACCCAGACAGCAAACTACTTCTGATCTCGACTAGTCTTCTTTAACGTTACTGCAGCAGAAGTAAGTAAGCCATTAACATCTGGAGACTTCACTCATTTTCAGTCATTTTTAAATGAATTGTTTTAGCTTCACTGAATTTAAAGAAACAGTTTAAATCCTAAGCAAACAAGGAGATCAGAGACACAGAGAGACACACTGCATTCTCTCCAGAGCTCTCATTTTACCGTCTTGCACTTTGGGACCTTCTCCTCCAAATCCTATACTTTGTAAAAGGATTAGTAAGATAATCCTTTAAAAATAAATGCGAAGGATAACATATCCTAGTTGTAATTCTGGAAGGCAAACACACACTTATCAGAAAAATCATAATCAGTTCATTTTCTGTATGTAATGGTTCCTTTACTTAATAAATCAACCGACTTTCAATACAAACCATGTTTTACTAAGCTTATTTTTATGCTAAGCATATTTAATTTTAAAATTGAATTAATTACTATTTTAAAATGCTGATTGTGTATTTTAGATTGAGTTAAACTTCTACCCAAATCCAGCCTCACACAACGCTGCATAACAAAGTATCAGCTAGCAAGATATGCACTGTTCACCTTTTTTTAATATAAGGTGTAAAAAGTCAAACACTTAAGCATTACGATTACTTACGTGTATAGATAGTATACCCTTTTGGGTAGCATAATGAAATATGCTAATGAATATCATCTCTTTTTCAGAATGCAAAAATAGCCCATGTGCAAAGCCATATGAAAAATGGTTATTTAAAATCATTATTAGAATGGATGATAGAAATCAACCCATCCTGACCCACGTCCACATTACCAAAGAAAATGGAAAAAGAAAATAACCTTTACATCTTGAGAGCAACCTTCTCTCTGGCTACGCTTAAGGCAGGGAGGAGATGTGTCCTAACTAATAGCTAAATAAGAAAATTTTTTTCTGACTCTTACCCAGTGCCTCAATCCACAGACATTGTAGGGCTGCTGCCTGTTTTCTGAAACACTTAAATATGAAGTATTTGTATTTGATCCCTATTTTAGGAAATGCTTGGCTGGAACAGAGACCCTCACTTACCATCATTATTAGTGGCCTTCCAAAGGCTGAACGATCAGAGTTCACATTTAAGATCTCCATCGGCTTGCTACATTTTACTTCAACCAAATTTGTGTTAAAACCTCCTCAGATTTCTTTTGCTTTGCCAAGGAATAAAATCTGTTTCTAGTCTCTGCATGCTCCCTCACAATATCTTTAATAAAACAGCTAAAAACTTATGAACAAAACATCATAGATTACATTAATCATAATCACAGACAGTGTAGCCATGGGTCTACAAAGTTCATTTTCATTTCAGTGCAGCCGCAATGCCTCCTTGCCCCTGGGAATTACTGAAGCAATATGTTTAATTAGGGACGGCAAAGAAATAGACTGATCATCCCAAAGGCTTTGAAAGGATAAACTGCATACAGATACCACATCCTCCGGTGAAAGCCGTCAGATGCTTTGATGAAGAATAAAGCCAATATGAGAATATGCCACACCAAAAAAAAAAAAAAAATGCTTGAGGTAGCTACATTTTTTGAGAAACTTCTTAAATGTAATTTAATATGAGCTAGCTACACAGTGGGTAAAATTATTCTTTACCATATCAGTAGTTAGCCAAAAGACTCCTGACACTAAGAGATATATTGCTGGTGGTTTAATATTTCAGCTAACGCTTTCTGTATTTTTAAAGACACCACAATCCATCCTATCACATTAGAAGTGTTCCTTTCAGTCTCCTCACTAGACTGAAGTTTGGAATACATGCATTCCACATTTCCCCTGCAATTTCCCTATCAATTGGTCCGTGGAGTTCTTTATATTCTGTTTTAAATCATTGTCCAGTGATGTTGTGTGCTGTTAAGTAACTGTTCCACTCACACTGGTGACAGCTGCGTTCCCATATACCTGTTACTTTACGCACAATGCTTAGGCAGCACTATAATACTTCATATTTGTACTACTGCCTGTGCCTCAGAGCCCTACTTATCATAAAAAAAGCCACTGTGATTGTTTCTAAAGTCTCTTCATTTTTCTCTTATGCCACTGCAGACAATATGCCTTCTCCCATTAAGGCACCCCACTGATTTGTGAATTATTTAAGGCAGGAACTTTATTCAGCAAATCCCTGTTAAAAGGCAGCAAGGAAGTGCTATGTCTACAGCAGTCACGGAACATCATCCTTCTTTGTTGTTAGCAGTCTTTCTCAACCTGAGATTGTTTAGTTGGAAGTAAATAATTTCACAACTCCTTTTAATCCACTAAGACAGATTTCATAATCTATTGGTTATGACAATGCTAGGCTCTAGATTTGTGTTTCAAAAGCTGTAGTCATAAATCTTGACCTTGAGGATTACGCAGCAAGAAGCAGGACTAGCTCTTCTTTGCTTCTGATTACAATAACATTTTCAGCACTTCATCATGCCTCTGAATGCTTGCTACAAGCCCCTTGGCTCATGATTTGCCTTTTGAAAACCACTGCTACATAAAACTGCATACTGTATTGAGTATATTTGAGGACTGTAAGCTTTTAATTATTTTAAAAGATCTGTATTTATTTTCTTAGAGCTCTTTTCTGTATGTAAGTAACAGAAGGCATTACTGAATCTCAAGTATCATTTTATAGATGCATCAGTACATTTAGGAGGTAACAGCTACACTTACATTATTGTGGGAAAAGCCTTCTTCTATGCATATAATTTAATATGCATCTAACACATCAAACCTCTGTCACACTTCTAAATAGCCATTTACGTGAATTTGATCATACACTTTTTTTGATGCTGTAGAAAGTGTCAAAAACAAGCTGAAAAAAAAGGGTCAGTCTACAAATAACCTCGCAGGAGCTTTGCCATTAGTCTCCTATGCTGGAAGCCCAGCAGAGGGAGCTTGTGAATTAGTTATAATACTCAAAAATGCTGTTAAAACTGCCTGTATTCATCAGGACATCTGACTCAAGCAGAAAGACGCTGGAGCCAACTTGGTAATTTAATTACTTACTGCACTGCATGTTGTTTAAGTTCACTCCTTAAGCTTGTTTTTTTTTCTACCAAAGACAGGGGCTGGGATTGTTCAAGGAGCTTTCTGGGTAATGGCATGGCCAGTTTTTTCCTCATTCAGGTGATGCTAACACCTAAAGCCACAGAAGAGTAGCAGGTACAAAGACAGAGGGGTCTGCCTTCCCCTAGTGTTACTGCAGTTTGATTGATGTACCTCTCCTGCAGCACAGTGGGCAATCCAGCTCCAAGTGCACAGCTGTCTCCTTTCCTTACGAGCAGCGTCAAGTACAACCATCTTTAAAAAAATAATAATTAAATCTCCTGAAAACTTTGTTCAAGGAGTAGGATTATTTCCTGAAGTACTACTGATGATGTTGCTAATGCAGAATATTTCATGCCGTAACAGCACCATGAGTAGTACTTTCCAGAGAGCATACCTTCCCAAATTTCTCATATTAACACAACGACACGACAGAGTGTGTAGAATCAGCACAACTACCAGTACGACTGTTGGTTCATTGCAAAATGGAACTTGAC